GGGTATGTGCTATGGTGAGTGCTGTGAAGTGTGTAAGCCTGACGATTCACGGATCTATACCCCTGGAGCAAATAATACATTATCTGTTAATAAAAATAATTAATAAAAAAACTTTACTAACAACTGATACTCTGTCTCACCTTAGAAATAATGTAAGTATATTTTATAGTTAGGAATTTTCTTCATTCAGTACTATATATTCGTAACCTATTATGTGCTACATATTGTTCTCAACTCTTAGGGTATTGCAATGAATAAAAACAGACCAGAGCTTGTACTCTAATGGGTGTGGCAGATAATAGTTAAGTAAACCTATAAACAAGAGTTGGCAGGCTTTTTCTGTAAATAGCCAAATAGGAAGCATCTTAGGCTTTGTGGACTGTGAATTGGGATGGGTGTGTTCCAGTAAAACTTTATTTACCAAAAGAGGTGATGGGTTAGATTTGGCTCACAGGCTATAGTTTACTAAACCTTGGCTTAAAACATCCTAAGAAATAGGAACTATTAAGAATTGATAAATAGTTAAGTTGCACTTAGAAGGAGAAAACCAAAATAGCACCTCAAAAATAGCAGTTTGAGGGAGTAGTTTGTTGCTTTATTTTATCACAAGGTATTAAAGATAGTAGGATTATGTAAGAGAAACTGTTACTCTTGAACTAGGTGTAATCATGTCCTGGATTTAACAGTGGTTAGAGTTTATGCTTACAAACAGAGCAGCAGCTGCAGCTACAAATGTAATGTTTACTTACTTATTTACTTACTTATTTATTCATTTATTTATTTTAAATTTATTTGACAGAGAGAGAGATCACAAGTAGGCAGGGAGGTAGGCAGAGAGGGGGCGGAGAAGCAGGCTCCCTGCTGAGCAGAGAGCCTGATGCGAGGCTCGATCCCAGGACCCTGAGATCATGACCTGAGCGGAAGGCAGAGGCTTAACCCACTGAGCCACCCAGGCACCCCTGTAATGTATATTTAAAAGAAGAATAACTTGGTTATTGCACGTTTGAACCTTTGTCCTAAATTCCCCCCTGTTTCCAAGTTGGTAGGAGATTATTTTTCAGGTGTATTTCTTTGATAAGGCAGAGCTCCCTGGAAATAGAGCTACTGTATTCTAAGAGAATGGATTCTGCTCTGTCACTCTCAGCTTCTTCGCACTGTGCTACTTCTTGTCCCTAAGATGTTCTGCTTTTATTCTTTTATGATAGTGCGTTGTGGTTTTTGCCCTTTCTTATCCTCCCTGCTGTTTTCTTTGAAGTCTTCTTTGGAGGGGCTTTCTCCTTTGTCCAACTTTCTTCATTATGGTAACATTTATATAACATAAAATTTCCCACTTCAGTCTTTTCTTAAGTATACAGTTCAGCGGCATTAAGTATGCACATTGCTGTGCATCCATCAGCACTGTGCATCTCCAGAAATTTTTCATCATCCCACACTAAAATTCTGTATCCATTCAGTTTCCTAGTTCCCTGTCCCCCATCTGCCTGCCTTTTAAGTTTATGGTGATCCGTGTCTCTTTTGCCTGGATTCCCTCTGTTTTGATTATTTCATCCATTCATAAGGTGTCCAGATCGTCTGTTAAGATTAATCTTATTCATCATGTATATATCCAGTTAACATTTACTGAAAGCCTGGTGTGTATCAGACTTTGAGGAAAGGATAGAGGGTACATGATGAGGAAAAACTAACACTGTACCTGAACTCATGGAGTTTGTCTTCTACTAGGGGAAACGTACTAATACTATAATTTTTATAACTGGTGATTTATAATGAAAGAATGGTGCCTAGTGCTTTGAGCTTTGAGAAATAGGAATTTTTCCTCAGGGAACAATGTTTGACCTGAATCCTAAAGATTCAGAAAGACGTGAGTGATTTAAGGGGGAAGGCAAAAGAGGGAGAAACATCCCAAGTAGAGAAAACAGCATGTGCAAAAGCTCTGTGGGAGGTCTGGGAGCATGTTGTGGGGAGTATGGCCCACATTTGACGACCTGGAACAAGCCAGCGTGTGGCTGGAGAAGACTAAGGAAGGGAGAGATCTGAGGTATGGCCAGAAAGATACGTAGGAGCCAGACTTTTTAAGGCCTTATAGATTATGTTTTCTAAAAGCAATAGAAAGATATTGGAGAGTTTTATTCAAGGTTATGGTGTGTATGGGCAGGAAGACATGATCAGGTTTGCAGTTTGGCTAAGGTTGCTAGCTGTAGTATGGAGAGTAGATTGGAAAGGGCCAAAAGTGAATGAATATAGGGTGCTTTTAAGGGGGGTTGATCGTGACAGCTGGGCAATGTGTGTTGATGGTAGTGGAGCTGAAAAGATGTGGTAGGAAAAATGAATGAACCAGATTTGAGGACATTTGGGAGAAGTATCAGCAATGATCTAGGTTTCCAGCTTGTGTGACAGCATGAATGTTATTAATCATTCTGAGGTAATACACCCAGAAAGAGAATTCAGTGTTAGTGGGAAAATCGTGAGTTTGAATTTGGAAATGTTGCCTCTGAAGTGCATTCGCCAGACCCATAGAGGAGACATTAAATGGGCAGCACATACGGGACTGAAGACCAGGAAAGTTTAGGACTGGAGATATAAATAATGGCAAGTTTTGGGAATACAGATAATAACTGATGACATGGGTATGAATGAGATTTCTTAGGAGAAGAAATATAGAGTGAGAAGACAAAAGGGCTGAGGACTTGAAATGCTGATGATTAAACAAATAGCCAAATAGAAGAGAATAAGCTTAAAAGGAGATCAAAGAGTAAAGGGGGAGAAATTAGCACCCCAATTTCTGCTCAGATGTGTATTCCTGAGATCATGGCACATACTACTTCCTAAGTATGTTTAAAGTGTGGCATGTTGTCTCATGGTGAATATGGACAAAATCGCATTGTCCAGCTTCTTCTATATCATCCAACTAAACAGAAAATCTAAACAGAAAATATATTCCTTCTCTCCAAAGCACCACTCTTCCCGTAGATAAATCAGAAACTTTAAAGACACTTTAAAGACTTACTTTGTTTCCGTTAGTGATCCTTCTAGTTTTTAATACTTATTCTTTTTTTTTTTCTTTTTTATATTTGTCACTTCTACTGCCTGGTTCAGTCCAATCTATTCAACATAAAAATGTCCATCAGTTTTCTTCCTAAAGTGATTGGATCATATTACTCTTGCTCAAAATTCACTGATATGAATAAACGTCATTCTCCTAAGCATAGTTTCCAGGACTTCCGTGACCTAGCCCAGCCGGATTTTCCTGTTTTGTCCCTCAGCTATGTGCTTTACCTTTCTATATTACTCACTCTTTCTCCCTGAACATGTTACGTGTTTTCAAGGCACTGCTTTTGTTCCTATTATAAACACAGCTGAAAACACAGCCTTTGCTCATTTTCAGTGTCGATCACATTGCTGCTCATCCTCTTCAAGACTACCCCAGGGCTTCATTCCAAAAAGGCTTACCTGGTTTCTCTCGGTTGTAATGAATTACTCTTATCTCAAAAGTTCCACAGCCCCTTACACCTTCATGATAGTACTCGTTTCATTTTGCCCTGAAATCATTGGGTTTTTTCTGCCTGCACTACTTGGTTGTAAGCCTCTTAAAAAGTAGTGCCATGTCACATTTGTCTATATGTTCTACATATTGCTTTGCCAGTGGTTAGAAGTATTGAATAAGCTATAGGTTCTAGAATAGAGGAAATAAGTATTATTTTAAGTGTATTTCTTGTATATAATTGCACTCAGTATCTTAGTTCTACTTTGGTACTGTTTCTATAATTTTATATGCATAGCATAAATTTTTTCCCCTCTTTTGGCAGAAGTATTCTTGGGTCAGAAAACTGGGTCTGGGGGAGGCTTTTTTCCTATTAAAAAGAGAATTCTCGGGCCGCCTGGGTGGCTCAGTGGGTTAAGCCTCTGCCTTCGGCTCAGGTCATGATCTCAGGGTCCTGGGATCGAGCCCCAAGTCAGGCTCTCTGCTCAGCAGGGAGCCTACTTCCCCCCCTTCTCTCTGCCTGCCTCTCTACCTACTTGTGATATCTCTCCCTGTGTCAAATAAATAAATAAAATCTTTAAAAAAAAAAAAAAAGAATTCTCACATGTTTCACTTTAACCTTGTCTAAGTAGTCAATATTCCTTTATTATTTTTTCAAAAATCCAAACCTTGGAAAGACTATTTTTTTTAAAGATTTTTACAGAGTGAGAAAGAGAGAGCACAAGCAGGGGGAGCGACAGGCAGAGGGGGAAGCAGGCTCCCCACTGAGCAAGGAGCCCAATGCTGGACTCTATCTCAGGACCCTGGGATCATGACCTGAGCTGAAGGCAGAGGCTTAACTGACTGAGACACCCAGGAATCCCTTATTTATTTATTTATTTTTTAAGTTTTATTTATTGATTTGTCAGGGCAGAAGAGCACAAACGGGGGGGGGGGGGGTGCAGCAGGCAGAGGGAGAGGGAGAAGCAGGCTTCCCGCTGAGCAGAGAGCCTGATGATTCCAGGACCCTGGGATCATGACCTGAGCTGAAGGCAGACATTTAACTGACTGAACCACCCAGGCATCCCTGGAAGACTGTTTGTAAATCTCATTTCATAGGATTTTTTTTTTCTTTGCAGTACATGCTTGTTCCAGAAAAATGAGAAAACATAAATATACTTTTTCATTCATCTTATTTTTTAAGGCCATTCAGGGTTGATACAGTTGGAACAAACTTTGTGACAAGATAGGAGTAAATTAATTTAATGGCTAATAATTTTTTGAAAAGATATTCTTCCTGTGATACTATTTTTGTTGTTTGGTGTAGCTGCTGTTTTATTTGCATAGCACAATTAAAGGTAATGGAAATATATTGTTGGAATTCCTAATTTGATGTATTTCCTCCTGCTACTATAAGAACGTTTCTGTATTTAAATTAAGATAATGACTTAAATGAATTTTCCAATAAGAAAAATTTTTAAGTAAAATGTTAACTTTTCTCAGTTATTAAATTTGATTTCTCCCCTTCTCATTAACACAGCTCTCAAGAGGCAGAATTTATATAATAATCCTTTCAACTCCATGAGTTATACAAGTCCTTACAGTCCGAATGCAAGTAGCCCTTACAGCAGTGGTTTCAATTCTCCATCCTCAACCCCAGTGAGACCTCCTATAGTCAAACAGCTAATACTTCCTGGAAATTCAGGTAAGGAGAAAATGAAATGAATAATTAAGGAATTTATTGCGCTACCTCAAAAATAACGTAATCATCAGTTGTTCAAGTTCTTTTCTTTTAAGTGCTTAGAGAAAATATCAGTGAAGAGCACCAGGTACTATTCTAGGTCCCAGGGATACAGATAAACCAGGTTACATCCATGAAGTTTTTTTTTTTTAGCATGTACTAAGTTTGTAGATCTTGCTTGATTAGATTAACAAGCTTTTGATTCTCTTAACCAATAGATGCTTGCCGAATAGCTTGATTGGGCTGTAAAAGCTAAAAATAAGAGCTCTTTTTGTTTAAATAGCATTTTCTGGGTTTGTTTTTTTTTTTTCTTTTTTAAGATTTTATTTCTTTGTCAGAGAGAAAGAGCACACAAGCAGGGGGAGTGGTAGGCAGAGGGAGAAGCAGACTCTCGAGTGAACAAGGAGCTGGATGCAGGACTTGATCCAAGACCCTGGGATCATGACCTGAGCAAAAGGCAGCCACTTAATCAACTGAGTCACCCAGCATCACTAAAAATAAGAGCTCTTATTTTCACTTATTTTGTTAAACAATTCAAGCTTTATTTAATAAGCTTTGATATTGCACTTAACGAGAAGTAGAAGGCCATATGTGATTTGTGCCGACAGAGTGGAGCCCTAAATGATAGGGGAGGGATAGACTGCTATAACTCAGGGAAAGAATGTTTACTGTGGTTCTGTGATGGACAGGTTGTCTCTGACTTACTGTTCTTCGGAATTCAAGCCCTGGTTAACTCTTGCTGCTGCTGCTGTTATGGCTAATTATTGCAGCTTCCTTAAAAACTAAGGTTATTGTTAACCACCCCAAATTTTTGACCTGTGTATTCCCTAGTCTGTTGACTCTTGATCCTGCTGTTTACTTTGTAAGTAAGTTGTCACTTGCTGCTATTTATGTCACCCATGACTGCATCCTAAAAATATTTGTTTAATATAAAGAATTTTATTTGGGCACTATTTGAGCTTGACCTTGTAGTACTTTTCCTATCATATGTACTGTGTTCTTCTTCATAATGTACACATTAACTCTTCTTATAGTCCTTTCATGTTGGAGCTTTTTTCTTTCTTTTCAAGTTTTGATTTAAATTCTAGTTAACATATATGGTAAAGTTGGTTTTGGATGTAGAATTTAGGGGTTCATCAATTACATATAACACTCTGTGAAAGCTGACTTTTATGGTAAAGAGTTCTGGGAATTGATTGATTGATTGATTTCAAATCAGCCTGTATTAGAAATATTAGTAACAGTGTTGGGACTTTATGCTTCACCAGAAGTTGATGATCCGATGAAAGCATTTCCTTAGAAATAAGTTATTATTTATAACTAAATAAATATTTAAAATAACTAAGTATTTAAACCATTTATTTATAACTAAATTATTATTATTTTATAAGTTAATAAGTATATCCTTTATCCCTCTGACCTGTCTTCTATCCCTTTTTGTTTTGAGTGATTAAATCCTTTTATAAATCTATTTATTTTCTTAATTCCATCTTTGGGCTTCACTGCTGCACTTCAGAGGGCTCTTTGGATCCCCATTACTAGTTGGACAAAGGGATTTTGTAAACATGGCATAATGCAGGAAAAATGAGCATAGTGTTCTTTTTTGGTTTGCTCCTAAATCTCTAAGGAATCTTGATTTTCCTCAAATTATAGTTTTCTTGCTTAGGAAAAGTAGATGCTTTTATTCAGGGAAAAAAATAATGGTATTTGCTAACGAGTAACTTTGAGAGGAGAAGACACGTCATAAATGCATCTGTTTATAAGCAGTTCCACTGGCTGTCTTACAAAAGTTGGAATCCTCTAACATGTATTGGACACTACCTACTTGCCAAGCACTGTGGTAAAAGCTTAATTGTTTCATAAGAGGACAGATAATTTATAGTTAAAATGTTTTGTTTTTATGCTATAATGTATGAAGGAGACCCTATAGTCCTCTTTATTCTTTTTTTTTAAGATTTTATCTTTTGTTTTTTTAAGTTATCTCTTCACCCAACTTGGAGCTCAAATTTACAGCTCTGAGATAAAAGTCACACACTCCACTGCCGAGCCAGCCAGGTGCTCCATCCTCTTTATTCTTACTAAGGTCAATTTTTAATTTCAATATTTGGGAATTTTTTAAACAAAACAGAATAATGGTGAACTGGATCAAAGATTTAATATAAAATTAATTAGAACAGATGTTTATTCAGTTTTTGTTTAACCAAATTTCAAATCTTTTTTTTTTTTTTAAGGTAATTTGAAAAGTTCATCAGACAGAAATCCTCCACTCAGCCCTCAATCCTCTATAGACAGTGAGTTAAGTGCTTCAGAATTAGATGAAGATTCAATTGGATCCAATTATAAGCTAAATGATGTAACCGATGTACAGATTCTAGCTCGGATGCAGGAAGAAAGTAAGTATTTTAATTGTTAAAGTTGAGGTCTAGTTAAGATATAATTTTGTTGGGGTTATTAAATAGGTCTTAAGATGTGGAAGAATAGTAACAAATGTTGAAATTTCAGTGGCTTATTCAACATATAGACTTGCTTGTTCATTAACATATTTTCAGAGTTCATTTTACATAGAACATCTTGTGTGGGGAGCAAAGAAAGGCAGATAATACTCTGCTTCAATGACTGGTAACCATACCCTGCATGTTACTTTGTGCAGGAACTCTCTAGAGTGGTTATTACCCTATGACTTTGTGTTTTCTTATTCTAGATCAGTGTTTCTCAACCTTTTTCTGTTATTAGCCCCCCAGGAGTGCCTTTTCAGACATTTTTTTTTCCTTTTTGCCTACCACCTCCCACCATGATATTTTAATACCACAGATCCACCCTGCATATCTTTATGTACTATGAGGACCATAAATTGTTATGGTAGCTAAGATTTTTTTCATACCCCAAGAACCAATTATTCTCTCTCGGGAACATAATCTCAGAATATATGATAGAGATTACAAAAAAAAAAAAGACCTTTATGAGAAAATTGGAATTATGACATTAAATGAAGTGAAGCCTATGATCTTGCTTTGCTGCAGAGTGGTCCTTGCGACTTCTCAGGTCACAGATATCTTTGAGAATCCAATAAAAATTATATCGCTTGCCATCCCAAAATGCACATGTGCACAGAATTTTTCATACTATATTAAGGGTTTATGGATGCCCTGGCTTTCATTTTAAGATGGTGGTGAGAGTATTGCCTCTACATTTCTTTTTAATGGAAATGGCAATTCATTCTTATTTATATAGTTGCACTTTTCATATTTGTGTGTAAAAGATTTTTAAAAATATTTCAGTACACAAAACGTGAGTAAATAAAGATGAGGAATGAAAAGAGTAAGTGAAAATAATCAGACTAAGAAAATCACAGTGTCATTCTCAGGAGATCATAAAAGGATTCTCAACCTGAAGAAACAGGAAAACTTGAACATGTGAAATATCCTCACCTAATTGTACTGATAACGGTACACATTTTTAAAAGGCTAGGATGGGATTGTTTTATGTTTTTAGTAAAGTATTATGGTTTGACTATACATTTTAGCATAAAATACCACAGACTTAACTCTGAAGCAAGCCATCTCTCTAAAGTGACCCCTTTAATCTTTACAATTAAAAGATTCTTGAAGTACACATTTCAGAGTGTTGACAGCTAAGGGTAATATGGAGCATTGCTATAACTTAATGAAATGCTTTCTACATTAGGCCCCTTTATATAAATATGTAGTTTTATTAAGCTATAACATTTATTAAGAAACTGCGGAATGTTATCCTACTGATTCATTTCCCATTTTTACACTACTTCTCTTAGAAAAACAGAAAGATTTGGTGCTTGCTTTATTTATCTTAAGCGCTAGAAACTAATAAAATGGTACTCTTTTTTCTTCTGTAATTATAACTCCTCACTGAGACTGGTATTGTCAGCTAGTGAGAGGCTAGTTTTTGTCAGGGATGTGAAAGAATAAAGAATGCTTCCTCACTATAACTTAGAGTTAATTGTCTCATTTCCTCTCGGAACTCTAGCTTTTTATTTTTATTTATTTTTTTATTTTTTTTTTTATTTATTCGACAGAGATCACAAGTAGGCAGAGAGGCAGGCAGAGAGAGAGAGGAGGAAGCAGGCTCCCCGCCAAGGAGAGAGCCGAATGCGGGGCTCGATCCCAGGATCCTGGGATCATGACCTGAGCCGAAGGCAGAGGCTTTAACCCTCTGAGCTACCCAGGCGCCCCTGAACTCTGGCTTTTTAGACCCCAGGATTTTGTTAGCAACTCAACCAGCTATTTGCTGTCACTTTCTTACTGTGTTTTGGTAACAAGTAAAAGAAATTTTAGCCTTACTTTAATCGTTCTTTTTAGGCCATCCCCATGCACAAATATTTCTTTTTCTGGTGAATAAAAAAAAAAGATGCTAAAAATGTGCCCTATACTGCCTTCAAATGCCTGTTTTGTTTTGTTTTGTTTAAGCAAATTATTTTTTTTTTTAAGCAAATGTTTTAAAGTACCATTTCTTCAGGGTTTTTTTGTTTGTTTTGGGGTTTTTGTGTGTGTGTGTGCGTGTGTGTGCATGTGTGTGGTTTTTTTTTTTAAGATTTTATTTATTTGAGAGAGAGAAAGAGCATGAGAGGGGAGAAGGTCAGAGGGAAAAGCAGACTTCCCAGGGAGTTGGGAGCCTGATGCGGGACTCGATCCCAGGACTCTGGGATCATGGCCCAAGCCGAAGGCAGTGGCTTAACCAACTGAGCCACCCAGGTGCCCTGTTTTTGTGTGTGTGGGGGGGGTTCTAACAGAAATGTAGAATTACAGATTTTAGCTGTTGCCTGGTTAAGCCTCCTTATTTTTAATATGAGAAAAACACAATCCCATAGAGATTGTTGCTTCCTGAGGATCCCCTAGTACTGGAGGGCCTGCTTTGGGATCTGTGTTTTTCTTTGTAAAACAGTGCTCTTCACTGGTCTGCTGTCTTTTGTTAGGTGTCTTTAATGCTGTGTTTGCTGTAATGAGACACTAAGTAACTTGTTGGGTACTAGTGAAACTTGTGGCTTGACTGAAGGACCAGATAGGCCCCAGGAATCTGTATTTTACAGATACCCTGGTGTGATTCTTACCCACTTCTTTGGGTACCATATTGATAGAACTATCTGTGTATGAGTACCCATCTTAAAAGTTTGAATACTACTGTATAATAGTAGGGATCTTTAAATTAGGTTGTCCATAGTTATAGCAGGACTTGCTCAAAATATTAGCTAAATTCTGTACTTTCTTAAATAGTAATTTTTTTCTTCATTGAATATATATTAACATTTGTTTTTGTTCCAAAAGTTTTTATACTATTTGAAGGGCCTAAGGTTCCTTGGGTGTTTCTGGAGATGTCAGGATACATAGGGGAGCCCTTTGAAAATTTGTACTTGATGGCTTAGAATTTAAGCTTGTTTTACTGAAGTCTTGGGTTGTGAAGCAATTGAAATTCATTTATGCCCAAATATTGAATTCCTGAGGGTGGGATAGAAGTTTCCTTCATCAGTAACATCAATTCAAAGAATTTAGTATCCAGGGAGTTTATTTATCCACTGGTGTATTCTTTTTATTGGTTGCACAGTAATTATTTTCCCTTAGTATTTCTTAAATGTTGATCTCAAATTGCGATTATTGTCTATAGGAGTAGGAATATTTTCAAGTTTATCATTCTGTCTCTACTATAGGTTTCAGATTTAAGAAGAAAATGTTGGATTGGGCAATTCTATTTAAAAATAATCTTTTTGAATGTTTTAGGCATATGGGAGAATGTGTAAGATGATTCAAGTGGAAAGGGAGTTTTCCTTTACACTTTATACCCTGTTTGAATTTCTTAATGGTATTCTTTTGTTTTTAAACTTCAAAAATATTTAAATGTTTAAAAATATACCTAAAGAAATGAAATAACACATTCATTATTGTCAGGTCTCCGTCAAGAGTATGCAGCCACCACATCTCGGCGCAGTTCTGGTTCATCTTGCAATTCTACAAGGCGGGGTACTTTTAGTGATCAGGAACTTGATGCGCAAAGTTTAGATGATGAAGATGACAATATGCATCATGCAGTATACCCTGCTGTTAACAGGTTTTCACCATCACCACGCAATTCACCTCGACCATCACCTAAGCAGTCACCCAGAAATTCACCTCGTTCACGATCTCCTGCTCGGGGAATAGAATATAGTAGAGTGTCCCCACAGCCTATGATTAGCCGCTTACAGCAACCTCGCCTTTCACTTCAGGGTCATCCCACAGATCTACAGACAAGCAGTGTTAAAAATGAAGGTAATTAGAATGTTTCTGGAGAAACAATTTTCCTTCATATTTCAGTATGTAACACAAATTTTTACCAGGGTTTTGTATTTCAGACAAGTAGATCAAAAGTTTAGTCAGTTTACTGTTTTATTACTAGTGAATCAATACACAAATAAAGAAGAAAGTGAATTTTACTTGATTATGTTAGTATTGCTTTGTCCTACTCATGAAGTGGTCTGTATGTAGATTTTTATTTAATTGATTGCTGGCTCTTTTTAAAGGTTTTGTTCTACCCATTTATAGAACCTGGGTTGAGTTGTTAGAAGACATGTACTTCCTATTAACTCTTCTAAAATATGCTGAATGCTTAAATAAAGAATTCAGTTTTTGATTGCCAATTAATATTTTAACTCTTTCTTCATCTAAAAGAATGGTTTGATTTTCTTTTTCATTAAATCCTCATGTTACAGAAAAACTAAGACGCAGTCTTCCAAACCTGTCCCGACCATCTAGTACACAAGTTGACTCAGTGAAAAGCAGCAGAAGTGACTCAAATTTTCAAGTGCCAAATGGAGGAATACCTCGCATGCAACCTCAGGCTTCAGCCAGTAAGTACCTTTATTGTACCAGTTATTTAAAGGAAAGTGAAAATAATAGGTAGTAATTTTGTACTGAATAGCTATATTAAACCATATCTGCAGTAAAGTACAGTACCCACTTGTATCAGTACTTGTATCTGAATGAAACTTTGGTCTCTCCAGAATTTTAAAATAAGCAAAGTCTACTGGTTAAGTGTGTGTGTGTGTGTGTGTGTGTGTGTGTGTGTGTGTGTATTCCTTAGAAACCTACACATTAAAAAATGACAAGTTTTTGTGGGAAGTAGTCCTGGAACAGACAAAACCCAAGCAGCTTTCTTACTAGAACATTAATAAAAAGCAATAATGATCCTGCAAAAAATACTAGCATAATCAAAAGCATGTTAAATTTTCAGTGACTAAAGTAAGTACTCCAGCAAATATAGAACTTCATAAAAAAAAAAAAAGTTGAAGGTAACTTGATGAAAAGGAAGAGCTGAGTCCGTTGAATGAAGAAGACATATGCAACATAAACAAAGATCAGAAAGAATCATGCGGAAAGAACTTCTAAGACAAAGGAGCCAGACTGAGCCAAGAAGTGATAAGGGAATAGATGGATACTGTGTACTTTGGTGTACAAGGTGATGAAAAATGAATTGAACACTTTCCAAAGAGTGTTACTTGTTAACTACAGTAGATAAGAGCATGTAATCCAATCAGGTTTAAACAAACTATCACAGTTCTATAATTTTAGAAATGCTCAATATGCACCCTATGTATCCCACAGCTTCCATCAGTCTTGTAGTCTGATTCCATTCCTTTGTGGCACATTATGTCACCGGTTGAAGTGGTAGCTGTGATGTGCTCCTTCATTTCCTTAGAGCTGTGAAGAAATAGCACAAACATGAGGTTATTGATTGTTCATTTATGTAACTTGTTTATTGAATAATACTTATTTGAAAGCATTTGATTATTTTTTAATTCTTTTACACCCTTTCTTGGCTCTGTTGTGTTTAGCTGACTTTGTATATTTTGTGTTAAGCTGCTGTTACTTGGTGACTCAAAAATAAACAGGAAAAAATACATTTATGTTTTGAAATACATAAATAATAAATTAATAATAAATACATTAAAATAAGATACATTTTAATAAATATTAATATTATTAATATTAATTTTAATAAAATACGAAATAAAAATACGTTTATGTATTTTTATCACAAATGATTTTTGTGATAACATCGATACATTTTCCTTATTTTCTAGTTGTATATGATATTACTTACATTACAGAAACTCATGTTGTGCTGTACCATACATATATATTCCTGCTTAATCCTACCAACAATTCTGTGAAGTAGGTACAATTATTAACACATTTTGCAAATTAGGAAATAGGACCTTTGAATGGTTGAATAATTTATCTTTGATCATATGGCTTATAGGCAGCATGTTAGGATTCACACCCGTGTGCTCAAGAATCCAAGTCCACCTAGCGAAATTTGGCACATTTATGGTTAGAACTAAGATTTAAAAATAGTCCAGTGTCAGTTGGTTAGTATATTGTCTGTTTTTTTGTAAGATGAGCCCTAAAATTTAAGGCACTGTGGTAAATTATTACACAGAGATTTATGTACTTCATTTACTCAGCTGCATGTGTGCAACATGTTTTTGAACCAAGTTAAAATTTAAGCTTAGTATTCCAGGTCTTACAAACTATGTAAGAGTGCCATTATGATACTCAAATGGTATACTTATAACTGGTATGAAATATAGGGAATCACAGAACATTAAAAATAAAAATAAAGTAGCAATTCGAACTCTAAATTCTGTCAAAATGGTGAATGATAACTTTTGTGCCTTTAAGGCTACAAATTAAGTCAATTTGACCCTAGAGGACATTGTGTGTCTGGTTTTTTCCTCCTTGGTATATTTGCCTGAAACAAAAAACAGTGCATAATGTTAATAAAACAGGAAAGAAAATTTTGTATCATTAAGATTAAGCAGTAAAAATCATGCATATTACAAGCTACACTTTTATAGCCTATGCACAGATAATCCAAAACATCATTTATATTTGTCCTTTTGTGCTTAGTTTGAATGTTAAGTTCTCAATTTCTCAAAACTTTTTATCTCCAGAGACAGCTTCACGGCTCTTTGTTAAAGCTAGCTATATCTATATTCTCTTTACCATATTCAGTAAATTCTCAGTACCAATTCTTTACTCAGGGTTGTTCTCTCATGCCCTCATGTATGTTCTTTATTTGAACCACTCTAGCACCTCAAAGCTATATGGAAATAAAAAAAAATTCTTCGCAGAAATAGAAGAAAATATAAAAGGTTGAGAACCTAGGATAAAAATGTTAATAGAAAAAATATATTGACCATATCTTAAACTTTGTGATAATTACTTGCCTTCTTTACCTACTGATTCCCTAGAATTTTTTCTATAGGTGAATTATTTTTTTCTTTTTCCCCAGAAATTGATAATTAAAGAAAATACGTAGGGAAAAATAATGAGATTCTAATCACCAATTTACTTTTAAGTAGAAAATATGTATGCAGTTTCATAGTGGTGTATTTCAATATTTGAACAGTATATAAGCAAAAGAGAAAGCACGGTACCATCCTTTTTTTTTTTTGGTCAATTTCATGTGCTTATTTTTATATTTGAAACTGTAGTGAAGCTTATTTACAATTAAAATTCCACAAATACTTATTTTAATGTAAAATCACATTAGTCCAAAAATATTTTTGGAAAAAGGTAAATCCAGAATTTTATCAAGTTTAAAACTTGTTTATTTTATAAAAATATTGTAAAGCCTTTGCTTAAAATTAACATTATATTTTGTAATATACTTATTTTTCTTAAAATTTTACATATATCTTTGATAGAAATGTATGTATGTGTTCTTTTAATTACTGTGTGTGTGTATATATACTGCTTTCATAATAGCCTTTTTATTTTGATATAGAATTATTTATAAATGTAATAGCAAGTCTTATATGTTTTATACATGAATTAGTATTTTTTATTTTTTGTGTCAGTTGTTTAGTATAATAGATGTTGCATTTTGTTTTCCTTTAAGTCTTTATTTTTCCAGCCTTTAAGTGGTAAAGCTTTGGTTCTTACTTGCTGGTCTGCATGAACCTAACTTTGCGAGGTTGCTGTTATTTCCACTTACGGGACCACTTCCTTTGCCTTGTACTATGCCGATCACTGTTTTATATGCTTATTTGCTATGGCTGCATTATTGTGGATGCTGGCATTCAAATATGAATATTATGAGAGTTCTAATATATTTTCATTTTTATAGCTATTACCAATTTCCAACTTTTATATTTGAAATGTGAGTAACTTAAAAAGTTAAAGAAAACCAGAGCTTTGCAGAGGTCATGGATATATTCTCAGTTTCTCCATTTAAAGGAAGGAATGTTTGTCAGGGACAGAGTTTTTCAAAAGACTAGTGCCTTGCTAAGACTACTAGAGTAGAGGTTCAGTAGGAAATTTAGTTTTCAGAAAGATACAGGAATTATCGGTTCAGAAATAAGAAAAGGGAGAAAAACCCTAGAAAATCTGCTGGTTTAAAAAAATTTAATACTTAAAACTCTGGTTAGTAGTTTTAAATGTTTATTTTCACATGAATTATCTCATTTGAATCTCACAACAACCTGTTTCTTTTCATAGAGAGAAAGCAGATGTCCATATGTATTACACATGCAGTAGCATATAACTGGAAAAATGCAAAACCAAACCAAATTTTACTCCCTCTTCCCAACCACTCTTTGAGTCCCCTGATATCCTCCCAATAATTTTTTGATTACATCATGCTGACCTAACTGCAAATGAGTGGGCATCTTGGAAAATATTCCTGAGTGACTACTGGAGCATTATTGAACTATACTTTGTGAATTACCACAAAAGAGTAAAATAATCCAGTGTAATATTTATCCACTTACTTACATTTAGTCAAATGGAAGAATATTTTTGCATAGGATACAGAGTGTTCCCCCAGAGAAAAGTTATATGATCAGTATTCTACTCCAGACTTCTCACTGAAGAGGGAGTGTCCAAGACAGTGGTCAGCTTACATCTAACCAGACTGCCCTGAGGCCCATGGGGAAGGAATTTTCATCCAGATTTCGCTTGGAACCAAACCTTAAAAGATTACAATTGAATTTTACATAATTGTGAATTATAAAATCAAATAAGTCATGATAAATCTGTGTAATGGGCTGATGTTAGAATGAATGGGATACTTGTAGAATTTCTTTTTAAGAATAAGCAGCACAGTGATGGTCAATTATCTAATTACAAAGAGATTTTATAAATGTTTTTCTGACACTCGTATATATTTTGATTGAACACATCTGGGATGGTTACCCAACATGTATATTTTTTTAAAGTGTCTCACTGATCCTGCAGTATATTCAAGTTTGAGAACCACTTGATTAGATCTCTGCTACAGAGGATCTTGAATGCTTAGTTCAGATCTCTGTTCAGATTTTATCTAGTGATCAATCACTCATGTGTCCTTAATTATTCAACAGATATTGGGTATCTGTTATGTTATAGACCGTGGGATTATAGATATGAATGAGAGCACGTGCCCTTCAGTATCACGGAGTGATTAGCAGAAACTTCTGTGGGAACAGAAGAAAGGTATTAAACTCTTATGTGTGTGAAGAGGTTTTCAGGAATGTTCTTGAAGTTATCTTTCTGCTAACTCAGGAGGAGCTTACGAGACCACATGAAGAAAGGAAAGACAGATTTACCTAACAGTGGGATTGGTAATGAAGTCTGAAAAGTAGCACCCTGTTTATAGTGGTTTTGTATAACTAGAGTGTAGGGTGCGGCAGGATGGTTAGTGCTTCCATTGATGAAGGATGAGAGAAATATGTAGGGCACAGACTGGGAGTTTTTTAATATATTAAGGAATTTGGATTTCATCCTATAAGTGTGGAAAGCCATGGTAGACTTTTAATCAATGTTGCTTCTTAGAAAATCCATTCTATTAGTAATATGAAGAATGGATTAAAGTTGAGAGACTAGAAACTATTTAGAAGGCTCTGGTACAATCATGGCAAGAATTGAATATCTGAACAAAGGCATTGGTATGGGAGGTGATGAGATCTGGATGAATTTTTAAAAATGAAAGAGGATATGTGACTTGGTAACACTGAGAAGATGGAAGGTGGAGAGGGAGAGAGGATTGAAAGGTGACTGAATGAGAATTTATAAGCAATGAAAGTTTCAAAACAAAATGTCATTGCAGAGTTAGGGGGAACACTGAACATTTTACCTGGCAGTGATTAACATTCTTTTATAGTGGCTTATGCTTACTTAGTATTTGGGACCTGGAATTATTTTTAACATCTCTCCATATGACAAAATTATGTTCAATAATAATGAAATAGAATGGGTTATAATAATAATGGCTGGAGAAAATGCAGACAATGAGAAATACTTTTTTATTGAGTGTTATTTTATAACTATCAGTAAAAAAATTATATCAACATTACAAAAAGGTATTTTTAAATCATTTTTTATAAAAAAGGAAAATGTTTTTACATATTGGTCTGTCACAGTAGTGAATACTATAGTTTAAGTTTCTGGAAATTTGCCAATAACGTCTTCAGAATTGATATTTGTGTACTGAAGCTCAAGATACAGTATAGCCAGATTTATCAGTTTCTCTTCAGTCATACTGACTGAAGAATAGTCTTCAATTTTTAAATCTGAAAAGTTTTTCTTCTTCCCCACAATGCACCTGTTGCACAAGTAAGGAAATAGTCAACATAATGATAAGTTTGACAGAAATTCATAAATTTCCATTTTACAATACATTTCAGAAACTGCCATCTTGTCCATATTTTAGTTCCTTTGGGGATCAAATCTAAAGATTTTTTGAAAAGATTTTATTTATTTATTTGACCCAGAGAGAGAGATCAGAAGCAGGCAGAGAGGCAGGCAGAAAGAGAGGGGGAAGCAGGCTCCCTGCTGAGCAGAAAGCCTGATGCGGGGCTCAATCCCAGGACCCTGAGATCACACCCTGAGCCGAAGGCAGAGGCTCAATCCACTGAGCCACCCAGGTGCCCCCAAATCTAATGATTTTTTAAATGTCTTCACAGCTGAAAAATTTCAAGTAATACTCAGTCACATATAATTACAATTGAAGTAACTCAGATTCTGTTTCATTGACTTAATTATCACTGTACCTTCATGGCTTATTTCTAAGCCGTGTAAATGTAGGAAAAAAATTATTGTACAAAAGCGGTTAGAAGTACATAGTAGTGTGCTAAGTGAGCTTGATTTCACATCTCTGTGACCTTAACTCTGGAAAGAAACGTGTAGTTGAATCTACCTGTGTTAGGGGAGACCATATAACTGGGAGTTCTGGTTATTTTTCATGTGAAATGCAATGTACATTAAAAGATAAGTATGTTCATTTAAATCTTTAATATTTGCTGTTAAAAGGTAACGGTACCTGCAGCAATTGTTTATAACTTAGGCTGACAAATTGTTTTCTTTAGGGAGGAGCATTTTATCACCAACATTGATCATCAATCCAGGACATGATGATGATTTAAAAAAAAAAAAAAAAGACCAAGCTGGTTTTATTTTTGCTCTGAATTCCTTACAGACCATTCACTCACTGCCTGCCTGCACTGGAGTGAGGGGGGGGGGGGGGGGAGCCTGGTTCAGCAGTTCCACTACTGTTGCCTTGATGCACATGAATAAAGTGGAAGGATTGGATGTAGGGAAACCCAAAAAGACACTGTCCTAATCCAAAAATAAGATGATGAAGGTCTGAATTAGGTATTTAGGAGACAATAGGGGGATGTAAACAGAACTATAGGGATGACTAAATGGAATTAAAGAAAACTTTGAGCCAGAATGACTTGGAGAATGGTGGTGTATGTTTAACAAAAATACAGAGACTTTCGGAATTGGTTTGTGGAGGAAGACATTAACTTAACGAACGTAGCATGAGAGAATAATATTTTTATTGTACCATCTTTGCTTTTCATGGTGGGGTCTTGCTAATTTGGAATTATATAAATATTAAGAGAGAAACCAGGGAAACAAGTATTTTTAAACAGCTAACATGCTGAATTCTATTATTGTGGAAAGATTTGGAGACTTTCTGTTTACTACACTTTATCATTTAAAAAATGATTTTGTCTTTAGAAGGCTGATCAAATTAAGAGTGATAATTCAGATAAAAACTTAGTTTTCTTATTTGAGTAATACACCACTATGCAGTATCTTATGAAAATCACTCATTTCTTTGTCAGATTTATTAGATTTGTTGTATTAGACAAGTTTAGAGTATACTGCATAATTCTGTTTGCAGTCTGATTCTTCAGGTAACCATTGCATCGTTTTTACTTGTTATGGATGCTCTTGTTGTTACCCATCAAGCTTGAGAGAGTCCATTGGAGTTACAGCTATTAATTTAAGTAGGACTTTTCCAAAACAGATTACAGATGATATTTGATATTAAACCCTCACTAAAAAAATTTTTAATGGTAATAGGTATTGTGGATTGCCAACATACATACTGATAATTACCTTTTGCCCTCGTTTTCTCTATTCCAGTGATAGTGGCATACTTCCTGTTCTTCAGATCCACTAGGCACACTTACCTCAGGTCCTCTACCATTGCTTTTCCATCTGCCTACAGTGTTTTTCACAGATAACTGTATGGCCTACTTCCTCTCTTCCTTCAGATCTTTGCACAAATGTCATATCAGGGAAATCTTCCCTGATCACCCCATTTATAATTGCAATTTAAATCTCCCGTTTCTTGTCTCCCTTCCCTACTTAGTTTTCTCCTTAGCAGCTCTCACTGTCTGACTCTTTACTTTCCCCTTTCTTTTCAGAATGTTTGTTCCATGAAAGTAAGAATTTTATCATCTAGTTGGCTATTGAAGAAATCCAGTGTACCTAAAATAGTACCTGAAATAAAGTAGATAATTAACTATTTGAAAGAATGAAAAAAAGCAGCAGCAGTGAATGAGTAAATGAATGACACTATGAATGGTTGGAAGTATGAATAATTATGCAAGTGGAGAATATTCAATGATGATAAAATCCTGTATTTCTGTGGGATAGATATGAAGTAATTATAAAATTGATTTTTTTTTAAGATTTGAAGAAGTTTTTAGTAGTCTTCCTGGAAGTATTTAGGCTGAATTGGTATATTATTTAGCTAAGTAATGTGTGGAATACTGTAAAATTTGAAATCAAATATGTTTATTAAAAATATTTACTATTAGTGAAGAACAAATTTGATATTTTGATTGTTTACATATTGTAGATTTTCTCATCTGCAAGAAACTATTTCTTTAAGTATTCAGTTTGCACTAAGATTTCCATCCCTTTTCCTTTCTGACTTAATGCACTAAGCATTTAAAGTTTTTTAAAAGCATTAATAGAGTCAAGCAATAGAGCAAAAGAGAAATTCTCCTTAATTCTCTTTGAGGATATTATCAGGTACTCCTTTGCCAACCTGATGATTGTTTAAGTGCTGGCCAGATTTATGGTTGTAGGATCTCTTTCTCTCTGCATATAAATCCTAGAAGTCCAACTTAAAAAATCAGTAGAGTAACATTTTAGAACCACTTAAATAGGTAACTGTACTGGTAGATGTGGGTCTTTTCAGTTCAATGAAACTATAGTGAGCTTTAACTCTGGATGGCTCTGAGCTGCCACTTACATGCCAGATTTTAGAGGTTTGTTGCAGTTAATAGATTAGGAGTTTTAGAGAAAGCTTAGAACTCCTCATTGATCAGTTTAAGAAGCAGATGCTCGGACTCCTCCAAACCCGTCAACCCCAGCACACACTGTGCACCCCCCAACACACACCCTCTATCCACGCCATTTAACATGAGCATAGCCCAGATATGTTGCTACACAAAGTCTAAAGTGCAAATTAGTTTTATTCTACAGCAAGATGATGTTGAATATATTAAAGCCCCTGGATTTTTGCTCCCTTGAGGACCTGCCTCGTTCTGAGTTTTCTTCTCCTTTTTGAGTGGGGATTACTGTTTTGTGTTAGGGCAGTTCATCTAACAATAACTGCTTTGCCAAAGTCTGCTTTTTTGCATTGAACAAGTACTACTTTTATTTTATTCTATACTGTGTGCTTGTTTTCATCACTTTTACTTAATTAGCTTTATATTCTTTGCGTCCTGTAGCATGTTTGCCGGTGGTTTGCTTTCTCTTTGATATTTTGATTGGTTTACATATTGTAGATTTTCTCATCCATAAGAAACTATTTCTTTAAGTATGCACTTTGCACTAAGATTTCCATCCCTTTTCCTTTCCGACTTAATGCACTAAGCATCACTTTCAGATTCTTCTGCTTCTAGGTTTCTAACATGTTTTCACCTTATGGTTTCTGTTCCTTGATAAATTTTCAAGTATGTATTAAAATATTCAAGTTTACAGAAGCTATAGCCTTTATCTTGTCCTTCCAGGCAAATATTACAGTTCCTTATTTTTCAACAGCTTCGCAAAGGCTGAAAAATTTGCCTCGTACTTCCCTCAAAGCCAAACAGTTGCTTCAAACTTCACCTACAAAAAGAGGTAACTACAGCCTCTTACTAAGTTTTAAATTTCAGCAAATGATCTAATAGTTAAATCTTATACCTTTTGATATACTGAGTCATTGATGTCTGTAGGGCACGTGTTCTTTCTTTCTTTCTTTCTTTTTTTTTTTTTTTTAATGATGTGGATTCATTCTCTCTTGGATAAATCCAGAAGAAACTTATTTTCTGCAGAGGTATGTATTGGATTGCTCTTCTGAAAGGAATAAATGATATGTAGCATTTTCTTTAGAGAATTTATCATTTTTCTTACCAACCTAAAACTGAAGGTCATTGTTTTAGCTTAATGTAGATGAACTAATAAGTGCTTTAAAATGAACCAAATGCCAGACATTTTGTATGTAAATTTTTTTCTTCTGACTTTTGAGTTTTGGATTTACTTATCTGTAGGATGAAATGGGAATGCTTTTCTATTAGAAGTTGATAAACATTAAAACACAAGATGTTGTGGTTCACTGGTAATGTTTGGACTTATTTACAGGAGTGGTAGCTTTTTTAAGAACTGAAAGTTGAAGTATGTGAAGGTTGGACACTAAAGCTATCATATTGGTTTGAACAGATTGGATGTATGAGCAGCTAGAAAGAAGTAGAATTGGGGAAAATACCATGAAATGGGGTAGGACCAGCAGTAGTAAGAATGAATAGAAGCCTCAGAGGAAATGGGACATAACAAATATAAGCAATGAGGAAAAATATTAACCCTATCCGGGACATGTAGATTTCTCGACAGTTTCAGAACTCAATAAATAACAAAGATATATGAGGAGGATAAAGTATTAAAGGACATTATGTGGAAAGAAGAGATTTGAGATTTGATTGTCGAAGAAAAAGATTTGGTTAATATGGGTACAAAAGCACTGAAATACATATTTTGGCATATTCATTTATATGTAAATGTTTTAGCAATGATTTGGTGAATTAAGTATGATTTAAGGAAATAGTTTTAGATAATGGAATCTGAAGGGAAGAGAATAGCATGTGTAAATATTTGTGTTTTGAATACTGAAAGTTGGTCATAGCCCTGCAATACAAATGTCTTTTGGTGCTACTGTCAGAAATAAGAATGAGCCTGGGTGGCTCAGCTGGTTAAGTGTCTACCTTTGGCTCTGGTCATGTTCTCAGGGTCCTGGGATCGAGCCCTGTGTCCAGCTCCCCACTCAGTGGGGAGTTCACTTCTTCCTCTCCCTCTGTCCTTCTCCCTCACTGCCACAAATAAATCCATAAACTCTTAAAAAAAAAAAAAAGACTGGATAGTATATGTTCTTTTCATAGAGAAGAAGGTGACATATTAGGAATTATAATAGAAAAGCGTCCTTACAGAAATTATTTGAGGACCAAAGGCTTTTTTTTTTTTTTTTAATCTTCTAGAACTTTTTGAGTACTTGGTGAGAGGTAGTGAAAATAGGAAAATGGAAAGATTGTGGTGTCTAAAACAGGACAGGAGATTACTGTATCATAATAAAACATAGGATTTTAAGTTTATATAAATTTTGTTGTATGTCTCTCTAAACTGCTTCATAATTTTTAGGGGAATCAGGTAGGTTTAAATAATTTTAAATTTTTACTCAAGGATTTTTTTGCTGTTTATTAGGTTAAGATCATAACTTTTGGGTGGTTGGTTTTTTTGTTTTGGGGTTCTTACTGGTTTTTTTCGGCCTGCGAAATTTGCATATTTTTGTGACTAAGCCACCAAACTCCCACCCTCCATGATATGATGGCAGGAAAACCCAATTTTATAATTCCTGGTACCTCTAGTTGTTTTAGTAAAGGGAAAGAAGTTTGCATGTTTGCGTGTTGGGTTTTATTGTTGTTTTGTTTCTTTTTGTTTAATCTCTTAATTTAATCCAGACTCATAATTTTTTTATTGGTATTGTGGTTTGGGGTGATCATTTTATACTACTAGAAGTTCTGAACCAAAAAAAAAAAAAATTCTGAACCAATTGAAAAAACGGACACAGGTATACAATAGGATTTAAAATAATTCGGTTAGGTGTGCCTGACTGGCTCAGTTAGTAGAGCACTTGATTCTTAATCTTGGAGTCTGTTTATTTTATTTATTCATTCATTCATTCATTCATTTCTTTTATTTGAGAGAGAATGAGAGTGAGCGAGCATGAGAGGGGGAAGGTCAGAGACAGGAGCAGAACCCCCCCTGCTAAGCAGGGAGCCCGATGCAGGACTCTGATCCCAGGACTCCCAAGATCATGACCTGAGCTGAAGGCAGTCGCTCAACCCAACTGAGCCACCAAGGCACCCTAATCATGGGGTCTTGAGTTCTAGCCCCATGTCTGGCGTCAAGCCTACTTTAAAAAATAAAACTTTAGGTTAATTACCAGTAAAGCTGAATCAGAGACTGAGATCTCTTGGGTCCAAGGCCAAATGGATTTTCTAATTTTCCCTCATATCTTGACTTTGAAAAAGAGGGTCTGCACTGGACTGGGGGATTCTCTATTCTTGTTAGGGAATTGAGGCAGACAAGATTCATACACCATGTGTTCATAGGTACCTTTGGCACTTTAAACCTGGGACTGGTTAGTAAATTGTCACATAAATCAATTGTCCCATCCTGGGGATGAACCTGTAACATCTTCTAGAAATTTGGTGTACTTACTTTAAGGACTCAAAGGATCATGGAAAGAGGGAGAAGGTAGTTCCCTTAACAACTGGAAATATCACTATGATTTTATTTATTTTTTTAGAGAGAGAACACACACGCATGAGGGGGAACAGGGAGAGAGAGAGAATCTTACACAGGCTCCATGCTCAGCTCCATGCTCCACCTCAGCGAAGTAGGGCTTGATCTTGTGACCCTGAGATTGTGACCTGAGCCAAAATTAAGAACCACTCAGGAACCCTGGTCACTTTGATTTTTATTGCATTTAGTGGTATTTGGAGTTTGAAGATGGGACGAGAAGTAAGAACTGTGTTGCTTGGCACAAAGGGACACACCATAAACATCTGTTGAATGAACACAGTCATGCCACTAACTCAAGGCTGGACTAATTCCTCTTTGCATTTTCTTCTTGCAAGGGTTTTTTTGTTTCTTCAGCCCATCCATCTCTTTAAGGGAAAAAAAATCCATTGTGTATAGTTAAGGCTTCCTGGGCGTGACTGTTTAAACTGCTCTGACAAAGAGATATTCATTCCTATTTATTGGGAACTCAGTGAAGTGGAGGTAAACAAAGTAAAGTCCTCACCAAGTCAGAGGGAAAAATATGACTACTTAGAAAAAGTAATGCATAGATCAGGACAAATTAAAATGTAGAAACATACTTTAGAAGGAAAGAGGCGGCAATGTAATAGGAGTTAGCGATGGTTTTTGTCCTGTACTGCTTTAATTCACTGTATTTTGAATATTTATAGAAGATGAGATAAATGTTTATAAAAGCCATATTGATAGGAGTTTAAAATGCTGTTTGATATCAGACTATCTGAAAATGGAGAAACTAGGAATTTTGCTGTTATCTTGGATCCAAAATTTAAAATTTCTTATATTCGCTTTTCACTAACAAGTATTTATTGACTCTGTATCATAAACAAGATACACTCATTATATCCTTCCCTTCCCCACCCCCACCCCCACCATGTCTAGTCCCTGTTTACTTCTATTAAAGTTGTGGTCAAAGCCAGCTCTGCCATATGGAGTTTTTAGATACAGTTAAAATCATAGGAGTTGTTCCCTTTCCCATGATTTTATTATAGAAAATTGAGAGAATGGGAAAGGAGTGGGCATATGGCTCTCTACAAATATACAAATCCTTGTTAGCCATTTCACACTATTTTTGGAATGATAGTTGAATAGATTCTGTTTACATTTAGAGTTGATAAGTCTTTTTTGATTTTCCAAGATCTGTTTTGCTTCTTTAGTTACATCTTCACAACATCTGTCAATTTCTTTTGTAGAGGAAGTCCTAGATCAAAATTTTCTCCTCTTTGAAATTGGTGCCTTTATTTTTCTGATTAAAAGCTGACTGACTTTTAGGAAATTAAAGTTAGAGCTAGAAAGCCTTCAAACATCACCTAATTTCAATTAACCTCAGTTTATTCTTTTTCCTTCCTAGCCCTCAAGTTTATAGATAAGACAAAAATGCTGCTACCATTAGAGGAAACACTTTTTATAATAGTGAAACTGTAGCTTAGTGCACTTCTTACTTTCTAGTTTTCCCTTAGGTTATACATTAACCTTGTTAAAATACTTCTCTCCACATTCTGAGATTGTAGAACTTCTGGAATTTATAAATCTGTTTGTTAAATTTTGTTATTTTAAAATATAACACAAATTCAGAAAACTGTATAATACATACTTTAATGAATTATTATAAGGCAACCTTTAGTGACCACCATTCATATCAGGAGACTGTAACTTGGTACTTCAGAAACTACCTGTCTGCTTCCAGACACAATCCTCCCTTGACCCACTCCCCCAGAGTAGCCATTCTTCTGAATTTTTATAGCAGTCACTTCCTTACTTCTTTGGACATTTTGATCATCCAAGAAATGAAACTGTAGTTCTGCCTCTTTATGGTTTTTTACGTTTCTCTTGATTTATAGTTTTCTTCTAACTCTGCACTCCCCATTGTTAAGTTTGTTTAAAGAAACCACCAGATCATTTACCCTGTAGCTGTGGATGTAGATCCACAGGCCAGATCTTGCTGATGTCTTTTCCATGGTGTCGTTTAGTACATTTCTCTGTATTTCCCATAAAGTGGTAATTGGATCTAGATGCTTAACTGGATTCGGTTTTGCTATTTGGGGGAAGACTACTTCATAGGTGGTGTGCTGCTTTAGCCACAAGTGCACAAAGCAAGACTACCTCTTTTTTGGTGTGATACTATCAGTCACTGATACCTAATACCTATATCCTTACTTTATTGGGTATTGCAGAATTGGTTTATTTCCATTCTAATACTCCCTTTTTTTCTTTTTGGTCAAAATATTTATATATAGAGAAATTTTCCTTTATTCTTTGCTCACCCAGCA